CACAAATGCCATTCTACAATGAGAAATAAAGAATATTGTTACATACATACACGTACGTACATATGGTGTACAGTACACGTATATAAAGCAATGTTGTTGTGTCCATATTGATGTCTGTAAGTTGAAGTGTTTATATCGGTGAGTTTGTGTTAATGTAATCATGTTGATAAAGGTATTACATTCTCTCATTCGCTGCATGTTGTGTTAATAATTGCATTATATGTTCTATTATATTCATATACTCTTTCGTTAATGTTGCAAATGCAAACATTAATGAAATTATGAATTTATACAGTTTTGTCATCCTTCATTGTTTTATAAAAAAAAACTTTTGATTCGTTATTTATTTATTTGTGTGCGTTTTTGTTTGTTTGTTCTGTGTGTCTGTTTATAAAATAAACCCACTCATCTGCACATTTATATTGTGAGATGATAGTTTGAAATAAGGGAAAGACATGCAACTAAATTAAGATATCATCAGACAAAGAAGCCCATTTAAACCAAGAAAAAAATTTTATGACCTTTTTCTATATATTTATAAAAAAAAACAAATGAATTCATGAGAAAAGATTTTTTATTTTTAGATATAGTAACATTCATTGCAAATTTATGCATAATAACCTGATTGACTTTGTAACGTATCAATGTTTTGGATTTTGTATAAGTTGTGTGTGTACGTTGTACACGTTAAAATGTTGAACGTTCGTGTATTTGTATGTCTGAAAGTTCTATGTGCCTTTCACGTGTGCGCAGTGGACAATGTTTGACTTGTGGTGGTAAACATGTTTCATTCGTTATAACTGTACACAAGGTATGCGCGTGTTTTATTTTTTGTACAATTTGTGAATATGTTTCGTTACATGAGTTTACGTAGTGCTTGTCATGTAGAATGATTTGCATGCAATTATTGCCTTATTGTCTTAATTGTATTATACGTATGCGATTTCTGAATGGGCAAAGTTAACCCATTTACACACAGACATTCACTTCACACACTCAAATTTAAACACAAATACTCACACTTACACACCAAATATATATATATATATATTATATATATATATATATATATATATAAACACAAAGCATACTTGAGCACATTTCGTAACATACACAGCATATGCATTTGTTTGTCTCTTCGTCCGTTTGTTTGTAAGATCGTTTGTTCATTTGTTTCAAAGGTTTTTTGCAAACCACTAAATTTCAGAAGCGTGTTAGTTGCATGTGTTTTTGATTCATCTTCGTAACTGCAACAATAATAGGTCTTTATTTTTTAGATGGTATTATCTAAACCAATGACAAATTTTGATTGTTTTTCAAATGTTTTCATTTCATATTCAAGGTATTGAATCAAATTGAGAATAACTTTTCATCTTTCAGTTTGTAATTCGTTTTTGTTTGATCTGTCAAGCCTGTGTTTCAATCACATGCGGCTAAAAGCACTGGTCATTCTGTTATTATATATATTTATTTATATATATATATATATGTACGGTTGAAGATTACACCCCATTTTGCAGTTAGAAGTTTTTTAAATAAAATTTCAACAACACGAAGCTGTTTTGTTTCAACTTTATTAAACTGTGAAGTTTGGCTAACGGCCGTTTCGGCTAATGCCATCGTCGGAGCCTAGATTGTAAAACCAAATGAGGAGTTAATAATATAAATTATAAGAAATAGAAAATAGAATATTAGATATTAAAATGAATAAATAAATGAATAACAACCTATATTTTAAAATTAACTCATTATATTGTTGAAAATAAAATAAACGAATAAATTTAAAAGAAAAATTATGAATAAAATTGTTTGTGTATTATCGTAGTTGAAGTGTAGAAAGTTAGCATAGTGACAAGAAGTAATGCAGAAATTATGGGAAGTCGATAATAATATTTAATGATATGACAATTTATTGAAGAATTATTAGATATTTAACAATTGGATATAATATTATTTAGCAATAAATATGTATAAAGAAATATTAAGGCGTGGCAAATAATGAAGTTAGTGAACAAATTGTTTGAGTTTTATGGCGTGAAGAGACAAACGGATTGTTGTTAATGGTGCGTTCTTGTGTGTTATATTCGTATTTATATTTGGTGTGTAGTTGCTGTCTATTGATGACGTTTGGCAATTGGGGCAGTACAAAGTCGCGATATTGAGTAAAAAGTTGTAAGACGTGAGCGAAATTGTCTGACTGCGTGTTGATTGTTAGTTTATTATTGAGGATGAGAATAGCTTCTTTTATTTTGAGTCTTGAGGGACGACGTTCATTATAAAGTATGCTAGTGTTATTATCAAGAATTTTTCGAGTAACTGGTATGTTGTGCTGCTTATTGAAGTGATCCTTGATAGCGCCTTGCTGTACGTGCATGGTAAGGCGTCTGCGAAGTGTTGTACGTGTGTGTCCAATATATGTTTCCACATCACGGTGTGGCAAAGGGCATCAAAATTGGTACACGACGTTCGTACTATCTAAATTATCTTTTGTAGTGGCTGGACTGTTTTTGATGACTAATTGTTGTGTTTTTGTTTTTTGTTATTAACTCCTCATTTGGTTTTACAATCTAGGCTCCGACGATGGCATTAGCCGAAACGGCCGTTAGCCAAACTTCACAGTTTAATAAAGTTGAATCAAAACAGCTTCGTGTTGTTGAAATTTTATTTAAAAAACTTCAAACTGCAAAATGGGGTGTAATCTTCAACCGTACATGTTTATCTGAGAACCTCATACCAAATTATATATATAAATATATATATATATATATATATATATATATATATATATATATATATATATATATATATATATATATATATATATGAGTGTGTGTGTGGCTTATACATTCAATGATGTGATGAGCATCTGTGAAGCTTATAAATGCCTCAATGTGTAAACAAACAGGTTAGGTTGCGTGTGCGTGCGTGTGCATAAAAATTTGCATAGGTTGGTGCGCCTGTTAAAAAGATGTTCGCGTGCACACATGTCTGCTGGTTGCTGCTCGTCCCAAA